GACGAATGTTGTCTTTTAAAAATTGCAATATTCGGCATTTATACAAATATCGAAATGCCGATTCTTGTTAATTTTGCTGAATATTGTGACTAGAAAAACTATAACATTCGGCATTCATATTAAAAATTTTTTTCTAAGTATCATCATTTGCTGATATTTTTTCGATACTTTGCCATCATATGCCGAATTTTTGCTAATTGCTGCAGTGCTAAATGTTCCTATTTCGACCAGTGTATATTCGCACTAACAAGATAACTACTAAAATATAATACTAGCCATATTTAAATAATATTGACAGCTAGATACTAGTCCAAAGATAAAAATTAGTACAGTATTATTAGTGTCATTACAAATTTCCAAATTCAAATAATAAGAAATAAATTTGTATATTTAGCTAGTTTTAAGTAAGCGTTGTGAATGTATTAGTTTTCTCGTATAGTGGTAATCAAATAAATAAAAATTTTAAAAACAATAAAGATTCTATAAGTCTAAATCTTGCAATTGCAGATATTATTGTTTTGAAATTCAAAATTTATTATGGCATAGTTTGGATTAAAAATTGTACCTGAATAAAATTGCTATTATACTGCATAATAAATTATATGAATAACTTGAGTAATTTGATAATAATAAATAAGAATTTTCTTATAGACATAATTTCTGTCTTGAAATCATGAATATATAAAGCTAATTATTTTTTCTTTCTCTTTCATTAATTCACCTGTACTCAATATCATGTTTTAAATCTTTAGTTACCATATTTACAACACCTTATCTGATTATTAACTCTTCTGCAGAATCCTCTCACGAGGATGCCTAATATTCTTTTCAAAAAACTAAAAAAACTGCAAAGCAAAATAATCTTAAAGAAAAACAGTCAAAAAAACGAAAGTTTGAATTAGTTCATGAATATCTTGATAAACTTAATGATGAATTCGAAACATTCAGGTTTTGCAAAAGATGCAACAATCAATTAATAGAGGATGAATCAACTTCACAAGCTAGTAAATCTTTGTACTATCCAACTATTGAACAGCACTATATTGAGTCCTTGAATCACGATTTGCTATGATGGATTATTATTAATAAACAATCTTTTTCAATAGTTGAAGAAGAGTCTTTTATTAAATTTGTTTCAAACCTTAACTCACTTTACAAAATTCCCTGTTGCCAAACCTTTTTCATAAATATAAAAAATTATTACGACTTAACAAAAATAAGAATTAAAGAAACCTTAAAAGCTAATAAAAGTAAATTAGCACTCTCTTTATATGTTTGGACCATACATACTCAATAACTTTTTCTTGGAATTACCATCAATTGGATTGATTCTGAATAGACAATGAGAATTCTTCTTCTCGATTTTATTCTCCTGTCCAAAGCTTCTACTGGAGAACATGTTGTGAAAAAAATTTTAGAACTTGTTAAAGATATAGGAATAAAAAAAAAATGAATAATAGGTTTTATTGGTGATAATATAGAAAATAATTTGACGTGTCAATGTTTTTTTCAGAAGTCCATAAACTCTAACCTTGATTATGTGCACTGTGCAGCGCACATTATCAATCTCATCATTGAAGCAGGTCAAAAAAAATATCTTGACAAAATTCAGAAGGCTCGATATTTCTGCAATAAAATAAGTTCATCTTCTATCTTGAAGGAAATGAAAAGAATTTCTACTAATTTAGATTGCCTATTTCATCACCTCATAATTAATATTGATGCAAAGTAGACCTCTACTTATCTGATACTTGAAAGGCTCTATCAAATTCGAATCATCACCAACAGTCTTATCCAATCCCATCCAAGTTTAAAAAATAATTACTTGGAAGCTGAAGATTGGATAATTATTGAAGAAATCATACAGCTCCTTAAACCATTTAATAAGGCAGCTTTAGTCCTTTCAGATACTTCACGACCTTCTTATAGATCTTTACGATTAATTTTCCTAGGCCTTTTAATGTATCTTAATCAATATATTTTAACTAGTATACCTAATGAAGCAGCAAAAAAAATGAAAAATAAATTGCAGGAATATTAGACATATCTTTTAAAGTCTTCAGCTATTTCTTCTATTCTTGATTCGTTATCTAAGTTCGAAACATTTCATGTAACTGATCATAAATTGATCATTAATCAGTTAAAAGTCCTTTATTCGTTATATAAGACGAATAAATCAACAACAGTTACTAAATTTAATGATCCATTATAAACTTTCCGAAAGCTTGTACAACTAAATGAAAAAAATAAAAAAGAAAATGAGGCAGAAATAGATGAGTTAGAAGTCTACCTTTCTCTGCTACGTAAGTCAGGAATAAATCCATTATTATGGTAGAAAACTAATGTACAATATTTTCTAACTTTAGCTTGTATTGTAGCAGATCATTTTGCTCTGCAAGCAATGAACATCTCTTGCGAGCGTGTTCTGTCTGATATCAAGTATAGTATTAATCTTGGTGGTGACAGTCTTCTTGAGGAAACAAACAAAGTTTCATTAATCTTAAAAAATTAGTTTGAAGAAAAAATTATTGAATAAGTTATTTTTTTATAAGTTTATCTTATCGTTATCTTTTGTACAACTTCTTAATAAAACCTATCATATGACTAAATTCTATAAAAGTACCGTTTGTATGTATTTATAAAAAAAAGTTATTTTATTAGCAAGACAAAATTTCTGACGTTGTCACCATATAAAGACACATTTTATTAAACATTTTGCTTTTACCAAATTAAATAATATTAGATATTTACGCGAGAATTAAAAACTATTTTTTATAATCTTTAAATATCGTGTGTCGATCTAAAAATTTTTTATTATAAAAAATCTTGATTAAGTGATCATCATTATGTGATCTGCACTATGTTTGTAATTAGGCCGATATAGAACACTCCAATAAGCCACGCTGCTCAAGTAGGATGAACTAGGGGGGTAACAGCCACTAGGAATGAATGAGTATAAGGCATGAGGAAATAGGCTCTTATTGAATATGATTAATTATTTACGTATTTCATGTCATAAGTCGCGCTACTCAAGTAGATGAACGAGTATAAGACATAATGTTGTGATGATAATTACATTGTATTAATTTTAATATTCCTACGTTTTTTTTTTAAACCCATACCAGGATCGATACCCACAACAAGACTAATACACAAGATCACTCTACTGTAAAATTAGCGAAATTGTCAAGGAGAACATTGCTTAATTTTGTTGTGGTGAGTGTCTCATATGTTTTTTATTACATGCTTCATTGAGGTGGTCTGTTAACTAAGTAAATTTAAACTTATCGAATTTTTTTTTTTATCAAAATTATAAATTAGTGATGTACTTATAATCTTCGAACGCCCCATAGGTTTTTTTAAGAGTCCCGACTTTCGCAGATCATTAGTTAGGGCCAATTTGAGTTATAGAGGTCATATTGCCTTCTCGACATTTTTTACTAATGCTTTACAGTGAGTTTAGACTACCGTTTCTTTTTGCTCGTTAGACCACCACCCCAAATAAAAACGGTTCGTAATATTGTAAATACAGTTCCCAGATTTAGTAAATCAACATTACATGTGATCTAAATTGCGTGTCAGATCTAGGAATTCGAATCACATAAGAACATGTGATTTTATATAGGACTTAGATCGGGTATCGAATAATTCGATCAAGGGTCTAAGTCCTTTTATAGCGTGCAAAATTCAATATTCTCAATGTTATCTGAGAATAGGGATCTACATACTCGGAAATTTGAGACCTTCCTTTACGAAACCCGGTCTTATTAAAGACCGGACCTGACTGATCTATCATTACGATTTGATAATACTGCGATATTCTGTGTAACACTATTTTCAATAACTGTTCAATTAAATATCTTTATACGTTTGGATGGCTAAATTATACGCAAATTATTTAAGTTTCTAAGTTATTGCAAATCGTATCTCGCACAAATGCATGTTTTTAAAGGAAACTATATGGATACTATGCCAGATCATAATCCTGAACACTACTCCGAAACCACTCCAGGTTGAACTTCAACTCAAGTTGGAATGAATTTAAAATATGTCTATAATCTGAAGCAACGGAGGAGTAGTATTCTGGATTAAACCTAATTTTAATGGAGTGGGTTGATAACTACACTAGTTTTGGTGATTTAAGAATCATCCTGAATCATCCTGAATCAAAGTTGCAATGGACAATGAAGGTTCTAAAAAAAAAAATCCCAATGTATAAGATTAATAAAACACCTTTTGTTCTTTGGTCACTCTACCTTGGATGAAATTTGTGATGCAAACGGCTAAACCGATTAACGGCTCGGCTAAAAAGACAAATATATATCACATGACCATTGTCCAATAGTAACCTTCAATTTCGTCTAGTTGATCCAGCCGTTTGCATCACTATCCAAATTCCAAGGACCAAAAATGTGACTAAGCAGCCTTGAGATATTTTTTTAGAGCATTGTATCCCATAGTTAACAAGTATACATGGCTTATTGACATATTTGATTGGTCAATACAGTATTAAATACTATATACGCATATTTATTGGTTAATATAATATTTATTCCAGTAAGATTACTCTTCAAACAGAATTGTTCATTGGAACCAATGGAGTATCGGATGTTCATTGGAGTTCCAAATTCCAGTCAACAACACTGATTACTTTTATTTTTTTTTCTCATTTTCACCATCTTTTCCATCATTCTCCTTTCGATTGTTATTTCCTGAAAATCCCTGTTGAAGAACATTCTGAATTCTTGGATCATGGGTATCAACTCCAGGTAGGGACTGTAACACAGAACTCATAACTTCATCCGATACAACAATCTAAAAGAAAAAATGAAAATTAACTATTAATAATATTTATTCATGGTAGTCAATGTAAAACAAAAAGAAAAGCATCTTACTCCATCGCCACTTTGCATTGACATTTCGATGGCACGAGCCATTTGTTCATCTTCGGTTAGTTCTTCCATTTGCACATCCCCATCCTTTTAAAAGATAATATTAAAATCTTAAATAACCATAATAACCATGCAATTAAAAATTGAAATCTATACATACGTTTTCTGAAACCAATGATTGTACCAAAGAAACTTCATTCCGATCACCACCTGCAATTGGTTGATCGACAGCCATCGTTGTTGATTCTGTTTCTTGAATGACAACCGCTGCAGTGGTAGTTTTTGCAGCCTCAGCTTCTTGCCGTACCTTCTCTTCTTCTTGTCGTTGCTTTTCTTCTTCGAGTGAAATACGCAATGCCTATGAACATGTAATAAAAGCACATAAATTACGATAGTAAATAACTACCATATCGTAGTACTATATAAATATTGTAAGAAAATTAATTCATAGAGTAGAAGTATACCATCGCCAACTCGGGATCAAGATTCGGATCAACACCGAATTCATAACTGCCTCCACCACCAACAGAAAATCCAGTAGGAACACCTCCATCTTCACCTGCTATTATTGGAGATAATATCAAAATTTCACTAAGAATATGGGGGCCAGGAGGAACCGTAACAAGATGACTAAAATAAAAAAAACGAGTTAGTAATATGAACATTATATAATGAACGCATACATAATTATTACGTACCTGTTATCGCCACTCTTGACTGCATTCACAAATGCATCTAATTTCGCAGTATTTTCAGCCTCCTCACCAAAATTTATGACATCAACAGCAATATTGTTTTTTTTTGTTCTTTTAGCTAATTTAACCAAAGTATTTTTATCGGCCTCGATTGGACTGCCCACAAATACTATAATTCGCTGTCGTTGATTTTTATTTTGTCTATGCTTAGCGTTCTAATTATTGATTATTCAAGTATTGCAAAAGTTAGGAAATATGAAACTTTTATTAATTTAATGAAAAAATTGATAAATACTTTGAACGAGCAAGAATAATTCAAAATGACAAATGAAAATGAAAAAAAAAAGATTAGTATAATATAGTTTTTTCTTTTGCGAGCACAAATAATTTAATAAATAATTTGAGCAAAGAATAATCAATACACGATTATTTAAATAGCGTATATCATATTATTTTGCAAAGATTGATATCATGATCGAACATTATTATCATAATATTACAGTATAAACTTTGAATAATAAAATTATTCAAAATTGTAATTGTCCGGAGCGGAGTGGAGGATTTTTTGTCCGGAGGATTTTACTGTCCAGGCCTCTGTCACAGGTGCCCTGTATAAAATTATTCTTTACTGGGGTATTCTGATGATAATTTATCTCATTTATAAGCCATTGTACTTTGAGCAGCCCTAGCATCGTCCATAAAAAAATATAGTTTACGTCATAAATAAAGCTCAGAATCAATAATAATAACCTTAAAGTATTTTTTATTAACAGTTAAGTATTATTAAGTATTTTTTACGTACGTATTAGATATTTTTTATTAAGTATTTTTTATAAGTATTAAATCACTAATTTTACTAAGTACTTGATTATTATAATGATAAATATTTAATTTGAAATTTTCATTTATCTTTTAATTTACAGTAGATTTTTATTTCATTACAATTTCTATAGGTTAATAGATGTATAAAAAAACATTTATTAAACATTCATTTGGTTTGGTTCGTTTCTTAAAAAAGTTCTTTTTGCAGTTGACCTCTTATGCACTTCAATTTAACGTTGATTATTTCTGAGAAAATTCAGGTAAAGAAAATAAAGTTAGTTGGAATCGAACTTATTTTTTAAATTCGAATTTTTATAAGCTGAATTTGAATTAATTCGAATAAATTCAAACAAATTCGAATAAACTAAGTTAACGGTTAACTGCCTCAAACTTATAGTATTTAACTGTTAACCACACAGTAATGCTGTTAGGGATGTAAACCAAACTATTTGGGACGGCCCAAACCAGGTGACAATTAGTATCGCACTAGGTATTTACAACTTT